TTTTTTAACTAGTTGATTAGTTGACTGGTTGGGTGGGTGAGTGGGTGGTGAAGTCTTTAAGCCTTTCCCATCGTGTTGACCCAAGGTGACCTGCTGCCTAATGTTCTTCCCATCTCACCACAGGCACTGGTCCGACTGCCTCCACACATTTCACAGTGTGATGAAGTTTTTCAGTTCTTTGAGACCCGACCAGAGGATGTCAACCCGCCAAAAGAGTAAGTGACCCTTGGACCTCCTCTGTGTGATGAGAGTGTGGGACAAAGTGGAGGCCCACTCAGAGAAGCTGGGCATGCGGGCCACAGAGAGAGGGAGCGGTATCAAGGCCAACTGGGCTAGGGAAGATGGGCCACCAAAGCTTGCTCTCCATCTCCCATCGCCTTCTGCATTTAAGGCGCAGACTCCCTGCAAACTCTTTCTAGCTTAACAGAAAATATCATGGACATGCTGTTCAGATGTCCAGGGTTAGCAGCTATTGCTCTGAATGGTTGATGCCGCAAAGCCCCCAGCCGAAATGCAGGTACACGAGGCCTGTGTTGCCCAGACTGACAGCTTACCCTGAGAATAGCTCAGGAGTCCCAGGTTGTTACAACAACCTTTGTTACTGTCATTAAAAATAACAATGAACCTCTTTGGAGCCTTTGCCAAAGGCCTCTTACTCGTGGAATTGTATGATAGGCATCGGTAGGCCTGTTCACAGGGGAGGAAATTGAGGCCCTGTGTGATGAAGTGTTTTTCCCACCATCGGGCAAGCGGGTTGGATAAGGATGCTCCAGGAGACTTTGAACCTGAGTCTCTGATCCCTAGAGGTCCAGTGCTGGCTGACATTTCCAGGCCAGATCACACCAGCAAGCTTTGAAAGAGAGGAGGCATCAGGAAGGATTTTTGTCTCTCTGGGCCGAGTACATTGAATTGTCCCTCTCAGGACTTCTTGCCCAGGTGGCTGAGCTCCAGCCTAACGGCTGCTCTCCTGCTCAGAAGGCTTGCTTCTGCTCCATACGCTGGGCCCAGACCACAGCACAGTGAGCAGCCCAGCTCCCACCCAGGATTGAGGGTGGAAGGAAGCAGCCAGTGAGTGGGGTGCCGGCTTCGGGATCAGCAAAAGAGACGTCTGAAGAGGATCCTAATAGCTGACTTCACTTCCTTATCAGGTCCCTTGAAATGTTAACTACAGGGTGGGCAAGTGAGAGGCAGATGGTGTGGGCACCACAGAGGGAAGGGTAAGAATGGAACAGTGGGCCTCCTGGTGATGTAGAGAAGAAAGCGCTCCTAGGGCACCGTCCACACTTAACTGTGAGTGGAATTGTAGAGCGCGCAGCCTACACATGCATACTTGGAGGTGCTGCCTAAAAATGGCCTGTACCCTTTGGGGGAGAGAAAAGCTTGGCCCAGGTCAGAGGCTCACCTGGCCTGATAATGGCCCCTCCTTGCTGGGTGTGGCTCTGTTCACCATGCAGGTGCAAGGGCTGGAGCTCAAATACCAGCTCTGGTTTGACTACGTCACTCATGCATCTCCCTCAAGCCTTTCTTTTCTCATCTGTAAAAAGGGAGTGGGAATTGACCTCACAAGGTTGGGGATTCAAACCCACCAGCTGCTCCAAAGGAGCAGGATGCATTCCCCCGAGGACCTCTGTTTGGTAAAGTGGCAGGGCAGCAAACGAGAGGAAGGCCCAGTGGCTGCACCCATCGGCTCAGCAAAGGAACATTCGGGATGGCACAGGACCAGGCAGGGTTCCGCTCTATTGTGCGTAGGGTCCTATGGGTCAGAGCCAATTCCGGGCACCTAACAGCCACAATTCATTCTGCTATTGCTATGTGGAAGGAGCCTTGTTGGTATAGTGGTTGTGTGTTGGGCTGCAGTCCCCATGGTCGGCAGGTCAAAGCCACCAGCAGTTCCTCAAGAGAAAGACTGGGCTTTCCACTCCAGTAAACAGTTAAACATCTCAGAAGCCCACAATGCTTTTTTCCAGCATTGACTCGATGGCAGTGAGTTTGATTTTAGTTTTCTTGCTACGTAGTAAGAAGCCCTGGTGGTGTAGTGGGTTATGCATGAGGCTGCTAACCACAAGGTCGGCAGTTCAAAACTACCAGCGGAGGGAGGAAGATAAGGCTTTCTACGCCTGGGAAGAGTTACAGTTTCATGTCAGAAACTCACAGAGGCAGTTCCCCCCTGTCTTCCAGGTGAGCGATCAGGTGGAGAGTTTGTTTTCTTTGTTTGTTTGGGGTGTTGCTACATCACTGGATAAGCATGGTGCTGCTGACCACAAGGTTGGGAATTCGAACCCACCAGCTTCTCCAAAGGAAAAAGATGAGGCTGCCTTCTCTTATCTCAGAAATCCTATGGAGCAGGTCTCCGTCACAGTCAATTCGGTGACATTGTGTTTGTTGCCACCTCCAAGGATCCCTGGTGGTGCGGTGGGTTAAGTGAAAGTCTGCCAACCAGAAGGTTTGAACCCACCAACTGGTCCGCGGGAGAAAGATGTGGGCGGTCACTTCTGTAATGATGTAGAGCCTTGGACAGCCTATGGACGCTACCCCGTGAGGTTACTGTGAGTCAGAATCCACTGGACAGCAGGGAGCTCCACTTGTTGACTTCTTGCTACCTCCAGGGTCAGGGTCTGTAACTCAGGTTGATAGGAGGTCCGGGAGCAAGCTTTGCCAGCCACAAAATAAGCTACCAATGTTTGCTCATACCCCACAGCACCTTCTTCCAGAATCAAAGACTCTTTCAAAGTGGCAGATCCCACCAGGAGCAGAATACCCAGTCAGCAAGGTAAGCACAGGCTTACTTGTGCTTATTAATATGTAGTGACAATTTCACATGGGTTTCACCAGGACGTGGTGAAAAACAGTTGAAATTGTTCACTCGAACCAGTAAGTAGGCATAGGTAGACCTGTGCTTGCCTGGCTTATTAGGTAATCTGACCTTGGCTACTGGGACTTGAACTCAGGACTTTCTGGATCTAAGTAGAAAACCCACACTCTCCCACGTCCTCCCACCTCTCTCCAGGTTCAGGGAGGAGGGAGACCATGGGTCCTTTATGCGTTCCTCTCTCAGTACTCCCTCCCCTTCCTCCTCCACTGCCCAGGACCCTCGAAGGCTGAGCCTGGCAGCACATGCGCTGGTCTCTCACCTGGCTCTGCTGCTCCTCAGCTGGACTGAGCTCTCGGAATCTCCTTCCATCCATGAGACAGAAAGTGCTCCTCTGGGGGCGCATTGTCCGTGGGACCACAGAAGTCCCCTGGGTGGTGGTGGGAATGTTGCTGGCGTGTCAAGTACCAGATACATCACGAAATCCACTGACCCCCACCTGTGGCCCCTTCCTCTCAACCCCGCTCTCTGCCAGTAGCAAAGGAATTCGCCCTGACCCATGTGTCAATTCAGGCACCCACGGCAGCAGGGCAGCCCCGTGAGGCTCAAGGCAAGCACTGGGTGTCGGAAAGGGCGCGGGACAGGATTGAGGCTCAGGCCCCGCCACTCAAGGTTCTGTGACTGCCGGCCATTTGGTCGGACTCTGCATTTCCATGTGTCCAACCCTACAATGAGCTAGTCGTGCCAGACCTGTACGGGAGCCAGAGCAAGGTGCTGCTTGCTCCTAGCACCTAGTAGGTGCTCAGCACTCTGAAAGGTTGTGGCTTCCTGCATACCCACCGCCCCCCCTGAAGACCACCACAGCCTGGCTGGTTGGTTGTATAGCTTTAGGTTGCTAAGTTACCATGGCAACAAGAATAACCTCTCTCTCTCTCTTTAATTGTATTTTATTGTGGCACAATAGATGAGACAAAATGTCCAGCCATTCTTTATGTGCTTCCGTGACCATCTCCATTAGCTAGTGCTGCTGTAACAGAAGATGTACCACAAGGGGGTGACTTTGAGAAGCAGAAATTTACTTTCTCACAATGTAAGGGTGCTGGCACTGCATTCCAGTGTGTGTCTGTGCCACGTTTTGTGCATACCCATTTCTCTCTCTGTTGGCTCGGCAGGAAGGTCCTTTGTCTTTGATCTTCCATTCGTGGGCAGTCCTCACCTGGCTTGGCCTCTCTCTCCCCAACTCTGCATCTCTGGATTGCTTGTTTAACCTTTGATTTCTCCAAAGACACTGGGTTAAGGGATACCCCCCACACACCCTGTTTCCTTCGCAGAACAAACACAGCACCTTCCCCGGTGGAATTATTATGACAGACAGAGGCTAGGAATTCTAACATTTTTCTTAGTCGTGGGGCGTGTGCACGACACAATCCAATCTATAATCACAGCATTAATTACATTCATGGTGTCGTACAAACTGCTGCCATCGATTCCCAAAACGTTTTCGTCGCAAAAGGGACCCAGTCCTTTTGACGATGGCGTGAGGGCCCCAGTACATGACACCAAAGCCTCTCCCTGTGACGCGTGCCTTTGCAGGTGGGTTCAGTAATACACGCAGAACTCACAGATAAAACTCACAAGTATGGGGTTTCTTAGAGAGCCTAACAGGCTGCCACAAGTCAGGATCACTGAACAGTAAGGATACATCATTGGTCCATAGTCCCTTGGCCTTTGCCTCGGTGGGCCGGGAAGCCCAGCCTAGGCTCTGCCTCGCCTCTCAGAGTGTCTCACGGTTCCTCTGCTCTGTCCCTCGGGTTCTGTGGCCTCTGGCCTCAGCCTCGGCCACTGCAGATGGAGACGTCCAACGTGCCCCACTGATGGTTATTCTTCCTCGACGTACGGATGGATGTCCCTGGGAATGCCCCCCTGCTTTCAAGGCGGCTCTGATGCGCCATGCAAAGGCTCAGACGGAGGTGTGGTTGTCTTTCAGCAGACCACACGTCCCAAGGAAACTAGGGGTGGTGATTTGAGTCACAACCTCTCCTTGGTTCATCAAGATCCCTTAAGCAGTAACTCCCACCTCATCCTCCCCCAGCTCCTGGTAACCACTAATCTACTGTCTGTCTCCTGGAATTTGCTCCTCCCAGGGCATTCATAAGCGTCCCGATTCTGGCGGTGTAGGGGGTTGTGAGTTGGACTGTTAAGCACAAAGTCCGCAGTTCAAATCTGACAGCCGCCGTTCGCTCCTCAAAGTTACCTTCCCGGAAACCCACAGGGGCAGTTCTCAGCTGCCCTGTACGCTCACTGTGAGTCAGCACTTACTCCAGGGCAGTGATTTCTTTTTTAAGAGAGTTCATGAGACTGAGATCATGTCATATTGTCCCGTTTGTGTATCATGCTTTTGAGCCC